ACTCTTATGTACATCAAGAGTTAAGTACAAGACATAATAAAACTCTTCAGAATGGGTGGGGAAAAAAAACCTATGAACACGCCAGCTGCTCACAAATAGAAAAAATAAGTGACTGTATATTTCCATACATAATAAATTATTACACAAAAAGTGAATAAATGAGCTACAGTCACACAAAATTACATGGACATTGTCAGTAATATAGGGGATGAAAAAACAGTCCCAGAAGATTATTGTACATTTTTAAAACTGTCTAAAATTCAAAGCTATGGTCAAAGTATAATGATATTGTTAAATAAAACATATGGATAGAATTTACTTTTTGGATAAAGAAAAAGGTGAAAAATTAAAAATAGTTGGGCCATGGTTGTATCATTATTGAATTGTATACATTATTATAAGTGACAATGAACCAAAGACTATGATTAGCTTAATTCTTTGGAAGCAAGTTGACATCAATGCAAGGACTAAAACCGGGAGATAAGAAAATAAATTAAAATACACATTTAATAAATTAGCCAGCCAATGTAGTCACTTTGATGGAATTTAAAGGATTATTAGATGATGATGATATTATTGATGCTACTGATGTATATGATACTAAAAAGTGATACTGCTACTAATGTTTACAAAATGATACAAACCCACCCAGGGTTTAGACTCGAAACATTTTAAATTTAGGATGAGTCAGTTATTGCATGCCCCATATCCCCTATCTTATACTTGACAAAATTGTAAATACATTTTTAAAAATTTCCTCATTTACATCACATCTATATCTATAGACTCTATAAAAAAAGAACACAAAACATAATAAAAGAACAAATCTTAGGATAATCTGTAAACTGCAACTAACCTCTGGATTGCCACAATCACACTGCTCTGTAGCTTCCAAAATTCCATTACCACAAGTTGAAGCTTTTCCTTGGTAAGTCATTTTTGAAATTGTTTTATCCTGAAAACATTTACGTTCAGGCTGCAGAACTATCTGTTTAAATCCATCCATGCTGCAACTGCTGAAAAACTTCATACCATTGGATTGTCTAAAATTAAATTGTACTTCTTAGATAAATGGATTAAAAGAATCAAAATAATACTTTTCAGTAAAGTGCTATGAACTCTGAACTACTTCACTTAGAGAAGATCCCAAAGGAGAAAAGAGTGTTTTTATTTTTAATACAGATGGTAAACAAAAAATAAATTATTTTCTATTGTAATTTGATATGAGAGAGTAAAGAAAGTTCAAATGGCAACACATTTAATAACATTTGGCAGACAATAAGCTCCATTTGAGTATATTCTATTATCGTCAACATTAAGGAATAAAAAATGGTTGATTATGTTAATAAAAAAATCATATTTATTTATTATTTGTTAAAATTAATCAAAAAGTTATCCCAATTCTGAGGTATATAAATTGTACAAACTCTAGATTCCTTTTATTTTGTTTTGCTTTTTGTGTTTCTAAACATTTAAGTATACTGCTTAAAGAGTTTTTGTGTAATTTAATAATAATCTCAAACTTAAAGAAATAATGCAAATATAGCCCAAAAAGTAAATTTTGTTTTCTGAGAGGTCAACACTATGTTCTGCAAACACTACATACATCTATGCAGTTCTTAGAAAGAAACAAGTTATTCTATATCAGCACACTAGACCTTTCAAAATCATGAAATAATATGTTATTGATATTTAATCCTCAGACTCCATTCAGATTTCCCCAAACATCACAATCCTAGCATTTTATAGCAAAATAATCCAGTTTAGAATCAAGCATTGCAAAATTCCCATGTCTCTTTAGTTCTCATGTCTTCTTAGTTTAATTGCTTTTCAAACTTCTTAGTACCTAAGTACTATTTCACTTGATGATGCTGAACAGTTTTTCAATAAATCCAACTAGACTGCTGTAAGGTATATGATTAGCATCCACTTTCCCTCCATATATCATTGAATGTAGAACTATTAAGCACATTTTCTACAACATTCTATCTTTTATTTAATGTCTTAAATAAGCACATTTGTATCTAATAAAATTTCTTAAATCATATTCCAAGAGGTTATACATCAAGGAATCCTAGAAATATTTGTTGAGAGAAAACATAGAGTTGATAAAAACAGTTCCTTACATTGCATCAGGGTTCATTATGCACGTAGTTCCTGGACAGTAACAATTATAGATGTCATCATATGTCAATCCCAGATTAATTCCAAGCAACTGTGCCATAACAACCGAAAAGGCCTCTAAAGTGATTTTCTTTGGATACTAAATAGAAACAAACAAAAACCCAGATTTACTGTCTAAGTTTTTTAAATTTATTTTTTTACTCCTTTGATCCTGTCAAATGTTTCTGGCTATACGACATGAACGCAAATGCAAATTTTAAAAACTACTATTTATTTACTTAGAAATAATTATTTCTAATTATTTACTTAGAAATAAAAATAGGTACAATTTTTTTATTCCTTTTAGGTGATAATATTTTAAATCAAAATGGCATTGGCTGAAAATAAGAATAATTCAATCATATATTTTTATGATATACTATTGAATTAATTCCAGCAAATTTCAGAGAACATTCTGAGAAGTATTATTTTAGTAACTACGATATTTCTCAAAAGGACACTTGGAAAAGATACACAGATTTTGGAGAGTTAAACTGGCAATCAGTTTTGACTTCAGAAATAATTTGAGAAGAACAATTTTTTAAAGCAGGATAATATAATATCTTGCAAATAGCATTTCACAAACATCCAGAAACCTTTTCATTATATATTTTCCTTTTCTGAACATCGTATAGTGAAACTGATACCACATTTAGTCTTCTTATAAGGGTTTCTCTCACCACAAATTTAAGGTTTTTTCACATCTTATTGTGGCTTAATAGCTCATTATTTAAATCACTGGATAGTATTCCATTGCATGGATGTTCTAAAGTCTGCTTATCCATTCACCTGTTAAAGGATATCTTAGTTACTTCCAATCTGTGGCAATTATAAATAAAGCTAAAAACACTTATGTGCGTTTTTAAATTAATTTTTTAATTTTTTGGTGCAAACAACTTTTTAACTTATTTAGATAAATATCAAGGAGGATGATTGCTGGATCATATGGCAATGGTAATCTGAGTATTTTAAGAAATTGTAAAACTGTTATCAAAGTGGCTATATTATTTGCATTCAGTCAACAATAAATGACAATTCCTGTTAGTCTCACAGAATTTGGTGTTTTTAGTGTACGATGTTGACCTTGACTGGTAAGCTACTTTCTTGTCTTTTTCCTGATCTAAGTAGTAATGTATTATTTTCTCAAAATGAGTATGTTGTTTCCTATTTTTTTTTTGGTGATCTCTTTAAGTTATATAAGTTCCCTTGTATTTTTAGTTTGTCAAGAGTGTTTGTTATAAATAGTCTTGGATTTGTTTTTTCTGAGTCTACTACCATAATTATATATTTTTTCTTTTTCAGCCTATTAATATAATTGAGGACATTATTTTATATTCATATGATAAATCAGCCATGCATATATGGGATAAATTACATATGCATATCCATTATTATTATATATTACATACACACACACACACACAGACAAACAAAGAGATAGAAACTAAAATATAAAATAATTAAAAAAAATCTGTAACTGGGGGAGAGGATGGAGCAAAATGGCAGAATAGAAAGCTCCACTCAGGATCTTTCCTTCTGCCCCTGACCCCCACCACAGACACCAATTTGAGAACTATTGACACAAAAAAAGTGCCTTTATCAGAACAAAAAAATCAGGTGAGCACAATACAGTACCTGGTTTATTTATTCAATTTTTTGAGACCGAATCTCACTCTTGTCACCCAGGCTGGAGTGTAATGGCACTATCTCTGCTCACCACAACCTCCAACTCCTGGGTTTAAGTGATTCACCTCCTTCAGCCTTCTGAGTAGCTGGGATTACAGGCCAGCACCATCATGCCTGGTTAATTTTTTTTACTTTTAGTAGAGACAGGATTTTACCATGTGGCCAAGTTGCTCTTGATCTTGATTTTACCTTGTGGCCAAGTTGCAACTTACCATGTGGCCAAGTTGCTCAGGTGATCTGCCTGCCTCGGCTTTCCAAAGTGCTGGTATTACACGCGTGAGCCACCGCACCCGGCCTCTGGTTTTAATATCAGGTAACTAAAAGAGGTACTGAAGAGGTAGAAAAACCACAGACACCAAACTTCCCCAATCCCCTGGCAGCAGTGGCATGGTGCAGAGAGCATTTCTTTGTGCTGGGGAAGGGGAGAATACAGTAACTGTGAAGCATTGAACTCAGTGCTGCACTTTTATAGCAGAAAACATAACTGGGTCAAACTCAGTTGATGCCCACCTATGGAGAGAATATTCAAACCAGCTCTAGTCAAGAGAGGAATTATTGATCCCAGTGGTTGGAACTTGAGTTCCAGCAAGCCTCACCACCATGGATGAAAGCACTGAAGGGACCTAAATAAACTTGGAAGGCAGTCTAGGCACCAAGGACTACAATTCATAGGTGAATCCTAGTGCTGAACTGGGCCCAGGGCCAGTGGACTAGGGGCACATGGCCTACTGAGACATCAGCTGGTGTGACAAAGGGAGTGCTGGCATCACTTCACCCCAACCCCAGTCTGCAGAGCTCACAGCTCCAAAAGAGACTCCTTCCCTCTTCTTGAGGAGGGGAGAGGAGAGTGGGGTAGGCTTCATCTTACATCTTGGATACCAGCTTAACCACAGCAGGACAGGGCACCAGTCAGAGTCCTGAGGCCCTCTTTTCAGTTCTTTGCCCCTGGATGTCATTTCGAGAAGGAACTCACTGCCTTCAAGTGATGGACCTAGTCCTGAAAAACTTCATCACTTGCTAACTGAGGAGACCTTGAGACCTGAATAACTAGCAGTGATACCCAGGGAGTATGCCATGGGCCTTGGGTGAACCTGTGAGACTTGCTGGCTTTGGGTAAAACTCAGCACTTTCTCAGCTGTGGTGGCAATAGGACAAGACTCCTTCACTTGAGAAAAGTGGAGGGAAAAGTAAAAAAGACTTTGTCTTGCACATTACATAGCCCCTCAGCAACAGGGCAGCAGAGCACCAAGCAGGTTCTCAGGGTCCCTGATTCTGGGACTTGGCTCTTGGGAAACATTTCTGGATCTGCCCTAGGCCAGAGGAGAGTCCGTCCATGAAGGATGTGTTCCCTGTCAGGCAGCATTCACCACCTGCTGACTGAAGTGCCCTTGGGCATTAAAGGAATATTAACAGTAGTCTGGCAGTGCTCTCCATGAGCCTGTGGTGGTGATGGCAACGGGGTGAGTTCAAACAGAACTCCTCTGCCTTTGGAAAGGGGAGAGAAGAATAGGAAGAATGCCATCTTGTGGTTTGAGTGCTAACTCAGCTGCAGTACAACAGAATACCAGGTGGATTTCTAAGGTTTTTTACTCTAGTTCCTGGCTCCTGGATTTCACCTATGGATCCTCCTGGACCTGGGAGATCTCACTACCCTGAAGCAAAAGACACAAACCTGGCTGGCATTGCCAGTTGCTGATTATAAAGCCCCAGGGCCTTGAGCAGATATAGTCAGTAGCCAAGGAGTGGTCACAGTGTTTACAACACACCTTGGGCAAGACCCAAGGTTGTGCTGGCTTTAGGTGTGACCCCACATAATCCTAGTAGAGGTGACCACAAGGGTGCTTGCATTTCTCCAGCTGGCTCAAAACAGAGAAATTCTGTATATTTGGGAGAAAGTCAGGAAAGAGAATAAGAGTTTCTGCCTGGTAATACAGAGAATTCTTCTGGACCTTGTATGAGACTATCAAGACAGTACCTCCATAAATCTGCAAAACTACAGTGTTACTAGGCTTGGGTGCACCCTAAAGCAGATAGACACAGCTTGAATTATAACACCAAGGTTTTTAAAATACCTGGAAAGCCTTCCCAAGAAGGAATGGTACAAATAAGCCAAGATTCAGAAGATTAAAATCAATACCTAACTCTTCAATGTTTAGACACAGACGAACATCTAGAAGTATCAAGACCACCCAGGAAAACATGACCTCAGTAAATGAAATAAATAAGGCACCAAGGACCAATTCTGGACAAACAGAGATACATGACTTTTCAGATAAAGAATTCAAAATAGCTTTGTTGAGAAAACTCGAATAAATTCAAGATAACACAGAGAAGAAATTCAGAATTCTATCAGATAAATTTAACAAAGAGATCAAAATAATTTAAAAAAATCAAGCAGAAATTCTGGAGCTAAAAAATAGAACTAGTACACTCAGGAATGCATTAAAGACTTTTAATAGCAGAATGGACGAGACAGAAGAAAGAATTAGTGAGCTTGAAGACAGGCTATTTGAAAAGACACAGTCAAGGGAGAGAAAAGAAAAAATAATAAAAAACAATGAAGCACACCTACAGGATCTAGGAATAATATTAAGTTGTAATCAGGTTAAAATCATGGGTTATAAATAGTATTTGCAAGCCTCATGGTAACCTCAAATCAAAAAACATGTGACAGATACACAACAAATAAAAAGTGAAAAATTAAATCCTATTACTAGAGAAAAATCACCTTCACTAAAAGGAAGACAGGAGGGAATGAAAGAAGGAAGGAAGAGAAGACCACAAAACAACCAGGAAACAAATAACAAAATGACAGGAGTAAGTGGCTGAATGGTTTAAAAAACAACAACAACCAAGCAGAACTCAATAATCTGTTAACCACAAGAAACTACAGTGAAACTACTTCATCTATGAATACACAAATAGAAGGGATATTAAAAAAAATATTCCATGACAACAGAAACCAAGTAAGAGCAGAAGTTGTTATACTTAGACAAAAATAGATTTCTAGACAAAATAATAAGAGACAAAGAAGGCTACTGTATAATGACAAAGGGGTCAATTCATCAAAAGAATATATAACAATTTAAAATAAATATGCATCCAACCCTGGAGCAACCAGATATATGAAGAAAGTATTATTAGATTAAAAGAGGGATATAGGTCCAATACAATAATAGCTGGATAATTTAATACCCACTTTCAGCATTGGACAGATTTTCCAGACAGTAAATCAATAAGGAAGTATCAGGCTTAATCTGAACTGTAGGCCAAATGGACCTAATATATATTTACAGAACATTTCATCCAGCGACTGAAGAATACACATTGTTTTCCTCAGCAGATGAATCATTCTCAAAGATAGATCATGTATTAGGTCAGAAAACAAGTCTTAAAAAATTCAAAAAATTGAAATAACATCAAGCACCTTCTCTGACCACAATGGAATAAAACTAGAAATTAATAACAGGAGAAATTTTGGAAACTGTTCACATATATGACAAACAATATGCTCCTGAATAATGGGCCAATGAAGAAATTAAGATGGATAAGAAAATAATATAAAAGATCAAAGAAACAAGAAGTTGGTCTTTTGAAAAGTTAACCTTATTGACAGACCTTTAGCTAGACTAAGAAAAATAAGAGAGAAGATCAAAATAAATAAAATCAGAGAGGAAAAAGTAGACATTACCACTGTTATCACAGAAATTCAAGGGATTATTGGTGGCTACTATGAGCAACTATATGCCAATAAAATGAAAATCTAGAAGAAATGGACAAATTCTTAGGAGCATGTAACCTACCAAGATTGAACCATGAAGAAATCAAAATCATGAACAGACCAATAAAAACAGATGGAAACTATAATAAAATATCTTCCTGAAGTGAAAAGGCCAGGACTTCATCCCTGCACTGCTGAATTCGACCAAAAATTTAAGAAGAACGAATACCAATATTACTCAAACAATTCTGAAAAACAGAGTAGAAAGGAATACCACCAAACTCATTCCATGAGGCCACCCTGATACCAAAACCAAACAGACACATCAAAAAAAGAAAAATGAAGGCCAATATTTCTGATGAATATTGACACAAAATTTCTCAACAAAATACTAGCAAACTAGATTCAACAGTACATTAAAAAGATCATTCATCATGACCAAGTGTGATTTATCCCTGGGATGCAAGGATGGTTCAACACAGGTAAATCAATGTGATACATCATATCAATAAAAACCAAGGACAAAAACCATATGATTATTTGGATTGGTATTGAAAAAGCCTTTGATCAAATTCAACATTTATTTATGATAAAAGTCCTCAAAAACTTGGTATAGAAGAACCAGGCCTCAAAATAATAAAAACCATGTATGACAGACCCACAGCTAGTATCTCACTGGGGAAAAACAGAAAGCCTTTCTTCTAAGATCTGGAATACCAAAAGGATGCCCACTTTCAGCACTGTTATTCAACATAGTACTGGAAGTGCTAGTTAGAACAATCAGACAAGAAATAAAGGGCATCTGAATTGAAAAATGAAAAGTCAAATTATCTGTGTTTGCAGATGATATAATCTTATATTTGAGAAAACCTAAAGACTCCATGAAAAACTATTAGAATTGATAAATTCAGTAAATTTGTAGAGTACAAAATCTACACACAAAAACCAGTAGCATTTCTATGTATCAACAGAAAATAATCTGGAAAAGAAAATGAAAAAATATAATAGCATTTCCAGTAGCTGCCAATAAAATTAAATGCCCAGAAATTAACCGAAGAAGTGAAAGATCTCAGTAATGAAAACTATAAACTATAAAACATTGATGTAAGAAATTGAAGAGGAAACAAAAAATGAAAAGGTATTCCATATTTACAGATTGGAAGAATATTGCTAAAATGCCCATACTACCCAAAGCAATCTGCAGATTCAATGCAATTCCCTGTCAAAATACCAAGGACATGCTTCACAGAAATAGAAAAAAAAATTCTACAATGTATATGGAACCACAGAAGTCCCAGAATAGCCAAAGCCAAAATAACAAAATTGGAGAAATCACATTACCTGACTACAAATTATGCTACACAGCTACAGTAACCAAAACAGTATGATACTGGCATAAAACAGACATATAGACCATTGGAACAGAATACAGAACCCAGAAGCAAATCCACACAGCTACAGTGAATTCGTTTTTGACCAAGTTACCAAGAACATACACTGGGGAAAAGACAGTCTCTTCAATAAATGGTTCTGGGAAAACTGGATATTCATAGACAGAAAACTCAAACTGGACTCCTATTTCTCATGATTTCCAAAATTCAAATAAAAATAAAGACTTAAATCTAAAACCTCAAACTACTTAATTACTAAAAAAAATTAGAAAAATTAGAGAAATTCATGAAAGGATGAATCTGTTCATGGATTAAAGGATTAATGGGCTACAATAAGAGTGAGCCTTGTGGTTTATAAGAAGCCGGCATGCTCGGCTCCCTTGCCATGTGATGCCCTGTGTCACCTTGCAATGTCCTCATCAGCAACAAGCACTAACCAGATGTGGCCCCTTTCCCTCAGACTTTGCAACCTCCACAAATATAAAGGATAAATTTCTCTAAAATTGCACAGTATAAGGTATTTTGTAATAAGCCACATAAATTAACTGTTAAAATGGTATTAATCCAAAAGTAATAAAATCAGAATATCTAGGAGACATATGTGCTTCCATGTTAATTTCAGCATTATATACAGCAGCCAAGATGTGGAAATAACCTAGACATCCATTGTCAGATGACAGGATAAAGAAAATGTGGTATATACTTACAATGAAATACATGTCAGCCAACAAAAGAATGGAAATTCTGTCACATGCTATGACATAGATTAACATTGAAGAGATTATGTTAAGTGAAATAAACCACTTACAGAAAGAAAATACCTTATGATTGTACTTATATGAGGAACTGAGGTTGTCAAATTAATGGAAACAGAAAGTTAAATGGTGGTTTCCAAGTGGGGGATAGAGTTTCCGTTTTTTAAGAAAAAATGTTCCAGAGATTTGTTTCACAACAATGAAAATATACTTAACACTACAAAACTGTACACTTGAAAATGACTAGAGTTATAAATTTTATGTTATCTGTTTTCACTCCAATAAAAAACCTCCTGAAAAATTACATTTGAATTCTCAAATCTAAAAATACCGTTTTCAAAGATTTGTCAAAACGGTGTGCGAGATTACCAGAGCAACTCCGGTTGCAAACTTTGGATCACATGCCATTCCATGATATGTTGCTCCCACGTAAGTAGAATGGTTCCTGTAACTGAATAATGAAATTTTTCTTGTGGATATGTGTAATTTAAAATAGCAATAGCTTACTCATATTTTGTGAGACGGATTTCTATATAAAGGTATTTTCCCAAAACACAGAAATTACATGCAATATCTTATGCTGTTAGTCATTAAGAGTTGGGTATCCCCTATCATTCACATAAAGTTAAGTTTTAAAAGTTGTTTAACATTATCTAATACACAGCCTAAAACCTAGCAGTGCCTTATTCTTTCAAAAAATTATTCCTCACTGGAAGAATATAACTTCGTGATATAAAAGTCAAATTGTTTATTGCTATAATTTGTATGTAGAAAACCAACCCCAAAAGTGTGAAGAAAGGTAGGATTAAAAGAGAGAGAAAGAGATAAAATATGCTTCAGATTTACTAAGAGAAAGAGAGGTAGAGTGTAGAAACTATCCTCACACAGCTATATCTTAACATTGCTCTGCAATCCTAGAGATTCTTTATAGCAATACTTTGATAGATATATTCCACAAATTGCTTAAAGTCTTTAAAATTGTGTTTTTGATTTTTGCACATGAAATAATCAAGTTAGTAAAATGCAAATATATAAAGACTTTAGAAAGATACCAACCAAATAGATAAATAGGTGCATCTTAGGTCAGTATAAAAATACCAGAAGGAAACCATGGGGAGAATAAAGTGGTCTATTCCAGTTATTTATTAATATTTCATATTATAACAAGCATTCTATGCGATTATTGCATTCTATGAATTGATTTATATTTATGTAATGTGAAAGCGACGGTTTGAATTATTCACTAGTGAGAAGGTCTTTACAAACAGAGGTATCATGTTTTTATCCCAAGACTTCTCATTATTCAGCTCATTACATTTCTAAAAGTAAACAGTATACTATAGGCTACTGCGATTTAATTAGTGTCTTCCATGATTATTAGAATCTTATATTTTGCAGTTGGCCAACACAGTCTTCTTATATCTTTTTTATTTGTTTGTTTTGAGATGGAGTCTCACTCTGTTGCCTAGGCTGGAGTGCAATGGTGCGATCTTGGCTCAATGCAACCTCCACCTCCCGGGTTCGAGCAATTCTGCTTCAGCCTCCCCAGTAGCTGGGACTACAGGCACCTGCCACCACGCCTAGCTAGCTTTTGTATTTTTAATAGAGATGGGGTTTCATCATATTGGTCAGGCTGGTCTCAAACTCTTTACCTTGGGATCTGCCCACCTCAGCCTCCCAAAGTGCTGGGATTACAGGCATGAGCCACTGCACCCAGCCTCATCTAGATTTTTAATAATTATTGTTATATAAAATGTATATATAATTTTGATAGCCAAGATATCAAACAATTTGATAAAGCTTTTCCAAACATGAATAAAGTACTTACACTAATAAATATGTCATATCATAAGACCTTTGAGACAAAAATTTTTGTTTCCAAGACAAAAATCGCTGTAGTAATTCATCAGCATGACCACTTGTTGAAATCTTATCTTGATCTGACCAGATCTCCAAGGAAGACAGCATAACTGTCATATTAAGCTGGGAAAACATCTGAGAACAGAAGATACATGTTTTACAGTTTTGGGTAACCATAAAGATGACATTACATTTCAATATCTAATGCTAATATATTTAATTTAATATTTTTTGAAGATAAAATAATTGGTGGATAAAACTAGCTGGTTAGACTACATTTACATTTTTACTTTTTATTGAAATGTAAATGCTATATATGTGTACACACACAATGTCATATTGCTTACTTAAATATAAAATATAAATACTTACACTGTTGATAAGACCAAAGATTTGAAAAACTTTGTCAACTGCAACTGCCACAGCAGAGCCCATATAATCATACTGAAAGACAAATTTTGTTTCTTAATTACTAGTAAAAATAACTAACTACCACATTTTAAGTGGATTTAAATATAAATGTAAAAATAATTTGGTGGTCAATTGAAAAGGCCCTAAATAGAATTAAGATACATCTCATGCTCACCAAGTTTTAAACATCAGCCTAAAATTTATAAAGTAATCAATGATATTAAAATGAGATAATTGTGATCATCTTCCTCTTTACAGATGTAGAAATTCAAAGTATTGAGGTATGAAGAGTGAGTAATCTATTGGTTACCAGGGCATGGTGGCAGGCGCCTGTATTCCTGGATATGAGTTCCCACCACCATGCCTTGCTAATTTTTCATATTTTTAGTAGAGATGGGGTTTCACCATATTGGCCAGGCTGGTCTTGGACTCCCAACCTCAGGTGATCTGCCCTCCTTGGCCTCCTAAAGTGCTGGGATTACAGGTGAGAGGCACTGCATCAAGTCTGATTTTTATGAAGTCCAAATTATCTATTTTTTTTGATTGGTCATGCTCTTAGTGTCATATTTAAGATTTGTTTTGCCAAAACTGTTTACAGATAAAATTCAAGTCTCAAGTCCACAACTAAATAAACTACTAAGTCTACTTTTTCTACTATAGTATACTGTCATCGTTTGTCTTCATTCTAATAAAATGTTTTATTGTGCTTCACTTTATTGCATTTTGCACATATTGCATTTTTTACAAATTGAAAATTTGTGGTAATCCTGAATCAAGTAAGTCTATTGGCATTATTTTTTCCAATAACATGCTCACTTCATGTCTTCCTGTTACATTTAGTAACTCTTGCAATATTTCAAGCTTTATTATTGGTATTATTACTACCACTAGTGATTATCAATGTTACTACTATAATTGTTTTCAGATGCCATGAACTGTGCCCACATAAGAGGACAAATTTAATCTATATATGCCATGTAGTTTCTGACTGCTCCACTGACCAGCCATTCCCTCATCTCTTTCCCTCTCCTCAGGCTTCTTTATTCTCTGAGATAATTAAATATTGAAATTAGACAAATTAATGACCTTACAATGGCTTCTAAGTGTTCAGGTGAAAGGAAGAATCACATGCCTCTCACTTTAAATTGAAAGCTAGAAATGATTAAGCTTAGTGAGGAAGACAGGTTAAAAACTGAGGAAGATCTAGACCTCTCGACAAATGATTAGTCAAGTTGTGAATGCAAAGGAAAATCTCTTGAAGAAAGCTAAAAGTGCTACTCTAGTGAATATATGAATGATAAGAAAGTAAAACAGCCTCATTGCTGATATGAAGAAAGTGTTAGTGGTCTGGATAAAACATTAGACCAGCCATAACATCTGTTAAGTCTAAGCCTAATCCAGAGGAAGTCCTGACTTTTCTTCCAGTCCATGAAGGCTGAGAAAGGTAAGTAAGCTGTGGAAGAGAGTGAAGCTAGCAGAGATTGATTCAAGAAATTTAAGGACAGAGGCCATCTTTATAAAAGTGTAAGTGCAAGGTGAAGTAGCAAGTGCTAATACAGAAGTTGCAGCAGGTTATTTCAAAGATGTAGCTAAGATAATTGATGAAGCTGGCTACACTGAAGAAAACATTTTCAATGTCCATCAGTGATAGACTGGACAAGGAAAATGTGGCACATATACACCTTGGAATACTATGCAGCCATAAAAAACAATGAGTTTGTGTCCTTTGTAGGGACATGGATGAATCTGGAAACCATCATTCTCAGAAAACTGACACAAGAATAGAAAATCAAACACCACATGTTTTCACTCATAGACGGGTGTTGAACAATGAGAACACATGGACACAGGGAGAGGAGCATCACACACTGGGGTCTGTTGTTGGGCGCTAGAGGAGGGACAGCAGAGGATGGGGAGGTTGGGGAGAGATAACATGGGGAGAAATGCCAGGTATAGGTGATGGGGGTATGGAGGCAGCAAACCACCTTGCCATGTATGTACCTATGCAACAATCCTGCATGATCTGCACATGTTCCCCAGAACCTAAAGTACAATTATATACATATATACACATATGTACATTATGTACACGTGCATTGAAAATGTTGAGAGTTTGATCTTCTGCTCCTCTGTCAGTTTGCTGAGAATGATGGTTTCCAGGTTCATCCATGTCCCCACAAAGGACCCAAACTCATCGTTTTTGATGGCTGCATAATATTCCATGGTGTATATGTGCCACATTTTCCCTATCCAGTCTATTGTCGATGGGCATTTGGGTTGGTTCCAGGTCCTTGCTATTGTAAACATTGCTGCAATGAACATTCGTGTACACGTGTCCTTATAGTAGAACGATTTGTAATCCTTTGGATATATACCCAGTAATGGGATTGCTGGGTCAAATGGAATTTCTATTTCTAGGTCCTTGACTCACTCATAGGCGGGTGTTGAACGATGAGAGCACATGGACAAAGGGAGGGGAGCACTACACACTGGGGTCTGTTGGGGGGAAATAGGGGAGGGACGGTGGGGGGTGGGGAGCTGGGGGGGGATAGCAGGGGGAGAAATGCCAGATGTAGGTGATGGGGAGGAAGGCAGCAAATCACACTGCCATGTGTGTTCCTATGCAACAATTTTGCATGTTCTTCACATGTACCCCAAAACCTAAAATACAATAAAATAAATAAATGGGAAAAAAAAAAAGAAAATGTTGAGAGTTTTTTATTCATATTCCCTCTAAATTTCAACAAAATAAAAATATAATAAACATACTGATATTGCATACCATGGCTTTATCCATAATGATTTGTACTTTCAGAGTTCTTTTCAATAGCATGGCACCTGAATTTATCTGTGAAATAGAGGACGTGAATTAAATAATTTCAAAATTTTTACATTGCAGTTGTCATGTGCAATACATATATACACACACTCACAGGTGAGATATAGACTATCCATCCATGTAGCTACCATCTATCTGTATGTAGATAGATGATAGATATATGAACACAGATACACAAATATAGATATAAGTAATAACATAAGAGGATGAGTGCTCACTTAGCAGGTAGGATTCCAAATACGAATTTTACAAGAAAATCAAAAGCATTTTATTTTATGTTATTGATAATTAGAATTGTCAAAAAGTCATTGAAATGAGGAAGAATCCCATATTTTCTTCCTCTTTTTAACATTCCTATGTACTCTGTAGCACACCACTCCCTCATCAGTCTTCAAGGTAAACTAACTTCCATATACATTTCTCCAAATGTTGCCTTTATTTTCTTATTATTTTTGTTCTTTTACTTTTTTATATTAACTTTATTGAGGTTTACATTCAATAAAATGTGTCCATATTAAGTGTAAACATATGATTATTGAGTAATGTATATACCATCACAATTTATAAATTGGTATTTAGCACAATTGGAACAGTTCCATCAAAATATTAAGAGCACTATCTTTAAACAATAAGGTTTCACACAATTTCTAGTGTATTGCCTCCTTTTCACTTTTATATTTTCTATCAAAATAACACTTTAAAATAAAAAAAATTCAAGTCCAAAAAACTTATAAAGCAATTTGATCAAATTGGTAACAATTTTATTAGTAAGATGCAAAATCAATATAAAAATAACGATACTTGTATAAAAATTCCTGTAATTAGGGAAACGTTACGATGCTTTAGAATTACATATATTTATATCAATTACATTTTCTAAATACTATCTGAATAAACAAATATATGTTTTAAACAAATATCCTACAACTGAAGTTTTTAATAAAAACCATGAAAACCAGCATAAATTTGTTCTCCAAATGCATCAAATTTCAAAATTCCACTGTGAATAAGTTTATCAACAGTAAGACAAATGAAGAAATCATAAATGAGAATACTCACGTCTGGTTTCACAAGAATCCGGTACGACTGATCTATATATTGGGCCACTGGGTAATTTTCTTGAAAGGAGTAATGACCAATAGCATCATTTTTTATTTGATAAACTACATGCTCATATGTAGGTGAAGATTCCAATGGTTCAATACCATAGCTGATATTATCTAACTGAAATAATCCTCTAGATATTCAAATACAAAAAAGAAATAAAAATGTTATTAGTCTTGAACGCCTGACCTCAGGTGATCCACCCACCTCGACCTCCCAAAGTGCTAGGATTACAGGCGTGAGTCACCATGCCCGGCTAAAAATGTTATTAGTATAGATTCTCCATTAATGAATTTGAATACAGTTTATTCTGGTGAGAGATTTTATTGGAATGCATTTTGTGACTGCCAGCCTGGGATAGAGAAAAAGAGAACAGAAAAAAAGATAAAAAGAATAGATAAAAAAGAAAAGTATTTAAAAAAATAATGTTTCTGTGGTGCGTGCCTGTAATCCCAGCTACTCAGGAGGCTGATGCAGGAGAATTGCCTGAACCCAGGAGGCGGAGGTTGCAGTGAGCCAAGATCGCGCCATTGCACTCCAACCTGGGTAACATGAGTGAAACTCCGTCTCAAAAAAAAAAATAAATAAATAAAATAAAAATAAAAAAATAAAGTTTCTATTTCTCTATATTTACTCTACCCTTCAAGAAGTTTCTGGAAATTAAAGGATCATGTATAATCTCAACGTACATATCTGGAATATGCCATTACCTGAGTCCAGAACAGGTACTTAGTGTCACAGCTGATTTTGGAATGTCTGCAGCATATCCTTGATAAAAGCAATGACCCTAAAAGGGAATATAGAAAGATATATTCATAAATGATTTGGAAACAAAGTCCTAGCTTTTATCTTTATTTCCTATATATTGTGAAACATTAACATTTAACCATTATTGTAATATTATTTTTCAGGTATTGAATTTCCATATCAATCTACAATCTTTTCCTCTAAGTTCTTTTCTGCTATGTTATTAGCTCCCAAACATTTTTATCAGTAACATACACTTTTTCTCAAAACAAGGCATAATCTCTACTCCCACTTGCTGACATTAGTAGGCCAAATCTATCCCTGGTAGCAGTTATCAGAGCCCAGGTGAACCAATTAATTCTACCCAACACACATTTATAGCAATGTGACTGTTAACACTCACACCATCAAGACTAACAAATTCAGGCAGGGGTGATCCACATCCTGCTCCACGTCTAGCAACAGCAGCAGTCACCGGCACTTGCAGTGGTGCCAGCAGGACCTGAATCTATAAGCCCCTCACCAAGAGATAGAAGGCAAACCAGTTCCCAACCTCTCTCTGGTAGTAGAGAGTAATCCAGACCCAATAGCTTCTGGCTGTGCACCCAGGAAAAGAAAGTAATCCTCGTGAGTTATTTCCCAATTCTCCCTACTATAAGCAGAAAAAGATCATTCAGATAGGAGGTATCTTCTGATATCAGGGTCACCAGTACATATATAATCAAGCAGGCTGAAATCTAGTAGCAGAGAAAATAGAGGAGAAATGTTTTCAACCCTATGAACCCTTCCTCACCCACCTCAACTAGAAACACTACTTGGCCCAGAGAAGTGTCATTTATACCTCTAGCTTAACCACCTAAGAGGAAGCAGAAGGTCCAACTCAGCCAGAAAAATGAAACACAACACAATAATATGGTAAATCATAAAAAAGAAAAATTGTTATTGGAACAGTGGACTACAATAAAACTAAACTCAAACTGAATGACTGCCTTCTAAAATAGAACATTAAAATAAGTCAAGGGTCTTAATGTCAAGCCGTAACTGAATGTCATTATACCAAGGACCAGGAGTATCCCAACATGAGTCATAGGATATCAAAAAATATTTGAAAGAAATATATAAATTGCATCAATGGACGATTACAAATTCTCTTGAAATAAAATATACTCTAAGGAAATAAATAGAAGCCAAAAAAGAAACAAATGAAAGTTTATTAATTGAAATATATAACAAAAAAAATGAAACACTGGATAAGCTCTATAGTCTAAAGTACAGATGACAGTGGATAAGATCACCAGATTTAAGGAGAATGCAATCACATATACCCAACCTACAAAATAGAGGACAAGTGGCTGAAAAAATGTATAATGCCTCAACAAATTGTAAAACAATAGCAGAAAATGTATAATTTATACTTTAAAAAGAATTTAAATAACATTCAAAATATTATTACTGAAATTCAGCCAGACTGTGAAACAGGAACCCCGGGATACTTCCTCTCCCCACAAGCATACCAATTAAGCAACATTATATGGAAAAATTACCATTGTGAGTAATTAGAAACAATATAGAGATATATATCCTTGGAGGATGCAAAACTAGACTCGCTAAAGCTGATAGAGAGATTTGGGTCACTCTCTACTTAGGAAAGTGAAAGATATTCACACCTAGACCTATTTTAATAAAACATTGAGGATCAAAAACAAAGATGATTTTGTAAACTACAAAAAAGTAGCAACTTGTCACACACAAAAGAAACTCCATAGGACTGTGAGCAGACTTTTTGCTTTTTCAGGAGAAATCTTGCTGTCCAGAAGATAGTGGAATAGATTTTTTTTTAAGTGCTGAAAGAAAAAAAAGCCTAAAAATAATGCTATACAAAGCAGTCTAGATTTCTTATAAAATCTGTAAGAAACTCACTTGAGACTTAAGTACACATATAGGGTGAAAGTAAAGAGATGGAACAATAAATTCCATGTGAATGATAAGCAAAAGGGGGCAGAGATTTTTATAAGTATATCAAAGAAAATAGATTTTAACACATAAGTCATTGTAAGAGAAAAACTGACATTTTATAACAATAAAAGGGTCAATATCTGAAGAAGATAATTTATAAATATGTACAAAATATTAGAACACATAAATAAAAAAACAGACACCAATACTGTAACAATAGAAGACTTTAATATCTTATTTTAAAAAAATGAATAGAACATCCAAACAGAAGATTAATAAGAAAACAGAATATTTTAATAGTACTATAAACCAAATAGTTCTAACAAACATATAAAGAATTTCATTGAACAGTGGAAGAATACACTTTCTTATAACGTTCATCTGGATCTTCTCCAGATAGATCAAATATTAGGTTAAAAAACAAGTCTAAAAATCTTAAAAAGATTGAAATAATAACAAGTGTCTTTTCTGAACATAATAGAATGAAGCTAAAAATAAATAGCATAAGGCAAACTAAAATATTAACATATACATCAAAATTCACACACTTTAATAATTATTGGCTGAAAAAATCAAAACAGAAATTAGAAAATACCTTGACACAAGTGAAAACATGAAAATAAAAATAAACAAAAAATATTAAAACAAATGGATGCAGGAAAAGCAATATTAAGAGAAAAGGTCATAGCAATATATGCCTACATTGAAAAAAGACATATCTCAAATAACTTCAGTTTACCTGAAGGAGATAGAAAAACAAGATAAAACTAAGCCCCAAATTAGCAAAGAAGATTTAATTAAAAAATATTTTTTTCCATTTATTTATTTTATTGCATTTTAGGTTTTGGGGTACATGTGAAGAACATGCAAGATTGTTCCATAGGTACACAGCAAGATTGTTGCATAGGTACACACGTGGCAGTGTGATTTGCTGCCTTCCTCCCCATCACCTACATCTGGCATCTCTCCCCTTGCTATCTCTCCCCAACTCCCAACCCCTCACCGTCCCTCCCCTATTTCCCCCAACTGACCCCAGTGTGTAGTGCTCCCCTCCTTGTGTCCATGTGTTCTCATTGTTCAACACCCGCCTATGAGTGAGAACATGTGGTGTTTGATCTTCTGCTCTTCTGTCACTTTGCTGAGAATGATGGTTTCCAGGTTCATCCATGTCCCTACAAAGGACCCAAACTCATCGTTTTTGATGGCTGCATAATATTCCATGGTGTATATGTGCCACATTTTCCCCGTCCAGTCTATCATGAATGGGCATTTGGGTTGGTTCCAGGTCTTTGCTATTGTAAACAGTGCTGCAATGAACATTCGTGTGCACATGTCCTTATAGTAGAACAATTTATAATCCAGCAAAGAAGATTTAAAAAGAAGATTAGAACATAAATAAACAAAATAAAAAATAGAAAATCCATATAGAAACAAATAAGTAAATTCATTTTTGGAAAAGATAAAATTGAAAATTATACAGAGCTATGTTAAGAAAATACAAAGGATGCAAATAAATAAAATCAGAAGTAAAACAGAGATATTAAAACTAATGCCACAGAAACAAGAAAAAGATAGTTTAAGAGACTAGCATGAACAAGTATATGTCAGCAAACTGGATAATAGAAGAAATTGATAAATTTCTAGCATAAAAATGGCCAAGATTGAATTATAATAAAGTACAAAATTTAAAAGGACTCATAACTAGAATGAAGATTAGATCAGTAATCAAAACCTACAACAAGAAAAGAGCAGGATCAGAGAAATTTACTGTTGAACTCTATCAAACATTTAAAGAATAATTAATACCACACAAAGCATTCTTAAACTCTTGCAAAAAATTGAAAGAGGAAAGACTTCCAAGCTTCCTCTATGAGACCAGACACCAAAGCCACATAAATACACCACAGGAAAAGAAAATCACCACCACCAAGGTATTCCTGGGGAAGAGCAACCCCAAGGCACATAACTATCAGATTAACCAGGGTTGAAATGAAGGAAAAAATGCTAAAGGCAGCCAGAGAGAATTGTTGGGTTACCCACAAAGGGAAGCCCCTCAGACTCACAGTGGATCTCTTGGCAGAAATCCTACAAGCCAGAAGAGAGTGGGGGCTGATATTTAACATCCTTAAATAAAAGAATTTTCTACTCAGAATTTCATATCCAGCCAAACTAAGCTTTAGAAGCAAAGGAGAAATAAAATCCTTTATGGACAAGCAATTGCTGAGAGATTTCATCACCACCAGGCCTGCCCTACAAAAGCTCCTGAAGGAAGCACTAAACATAGAAAGGAACAAGCAGTACCAGCCACTGCAAAACCATACCAAACTGTAAAGACCATCAACACTATGAGGAAACTGCATCAACTAACTGGCAAAACAACCATCTAGAATCAAAATGGCAGGATCAAATTCACACATAACAATATTAACCTTAAATGTAAATGGGCGAAATGCCACAATCAAAAGACGCAGACTGGGAAATTGGATAAAAAGGCATGACCCATCAATGTGCTGTATTCAGCAAACACATCTCACTTGCAAAGACACACATAGGTTCAAAATAAATGGATGTAGGAAGATTTACCAAGCAAATGAAGAGAGGAAAAAAAAAAAGGCAGATGTTGCAATCCTAGTCTCTGATAAAACAGCCTTTAAACCAACAAAGATCAAAAGAGACAAAGAAGGGCATCACATAATAGTAAAGGAATTAATGCAAGAAGAAGAGCTAACTATCCTAAATAGATATGCACCCAATACAGGAGCACCCAGATACAAAAAACAAGTTCTTAATGACCTACAAAGAGACTTAGACTCCCATACAGTAACTGTGGGAGATTATAACACCCCACTGTTAATACTAGACAGATCAAAGAGACAGAAAATTAACAAGGATATCCAGGACTTAAACTCATATCTGGACCAAGCAAACCTAATAAACATCTACAGAACTCTTCATCCCAAATCCACAGAATATATATTCTTCTCAGCACCACATCACACTTATTCTAAAATTGACCACATAATTGGAAGTAAAACCCTTCTCAGAAAATGCCAAAGAATGAAAATCACAACAGTCTCTCAGATC